ATGAGGAGGAAGTGTTTTGTATTTGGTGTGATTTTATCTTTGTAATCCTGCTGGAATACTCAACATGGATCAATGAATGTGACCAGACACTCAAAACCAACACCGACCACAATCTCCCTATTTCCCCATTCATCTCCTAATAATATCTTCATTGATTTTGTGGCTGATGGTTGCAGGGATTTTACATTTTATAATGAGCCAATGTTCAATTAAAAAAAATCAATAGGTTTGATTCCAGTTATCAACAATTCTTAAGGAAAAACACAATGTGGTTAAAACCTATACCACAGCTCTCTACAAACATTTGCAATGTTCACCCCCTGGCCCACCCCCACGGTGGGGCTTAGTTCAAAAATGCTGTAGGATGCATGTTAAACAATAAACATACTCAAGAAATCGATAAGATTATATACTTGTTTTTTTAATAGCCCAACAATAATGTCTGCAATAGACTGCAAATTCTGCAACATATGTTCCGTTAGAAAGTTTTTTCTGTCATCCACACTCTGTACACATCATGACCAGAGGTTACCCACCGCTGGGATAAGGAGAGAGGAATGACCAAATAATTCGATTTCGTTCACGGACTGAGAAATAAAATTTTCTCACAATCATTCTCCCGGTGTGATGGTCGTAAATAATTGAGGACGGGGGAGCCAGCACACGATCATCACGACTAAAGTATGCTTACAGAGAAATGGGTCAATAACTTTAAAAATCTGGATAACCAAGGGTTGGAATTTATATGCACGTATGCAGCTCTCCACTATTCACGGTCACGCATGACCTATTTCATAAAGAAAGTTAACCTTTCAGTGTCGCTAAAATTTAACGATAAACTTCTAACACCATATAACATTTATACATGTTTTTCAATATTCTAGAGTTAAAACTGTAGATACATCTAAGCCCTATGTACAATGATGTGGTTGTATCGACCAACCACGCACATTCAGTCAAGTGCATGTTGGGTGCGAATAAGACACCATTTACACAAATCAAGCACTTACAGTCAAAGGCGAAATCGGAATTCTCACTTCCGTCCATCGCTACTACTACTGTCCTCTCAGATTCCGCCATAATTTCAGTTGTTTCTAAAGACGAAGAAAAAGTTGTTGGCCTAAAACCGGCTTGATTAAACGTCGGCGAGGTTGTTCGATATACTGCTCTGTTGGAAGTTTCTCGAAATGTTCCGAATACCGACCGCCAGATGTAATCCGAATGGAGTACAAAGGTAAAGTGAGGTCATTTCACATCACGGAATATTTAGGTCTTTGCCTTTCAAGTTAATAAATAAAATCAATTTGAACTAGAGGTACTGTGAGCGATGAGCTCACTAAATGATACCCCCCGCCTCCCATATGGTTATAACTGGTGAAATAGTCCATCTTTTCCTGTGGCCGGGAAACCCAAAATATCTGTCGGATCAAAAAGTAAAATAGGAGGTGCACAATGGCAATATGTAATAAAGATTCTATGAAAGTTTCATCAAATTTCATTCAGTGGTATGAGAGGAGTTGCGGATAAGAGATGGGTACCCCAAAGCGTAACAGACGGACGGACAGACGGACGGACGGACGTACAGACGGACGGACGGACGGACGGACGGAAATACCGATTACTATATACCCCCACTTTTCAAGCGGGGGGTATAAATACATTATTAATCATTAATCCACCGTTAATTTTTATACTTAATATTTTCAAATTTTTCTTTTTTTAAGATGAGTATTTCATTTGTTACAGCATATAAGAATGTACAGATTGCTATTTTACCCTTAAGGTTGGAACCCCCCCCCCCTCTTTCCATTGACATATTCTCGGTGGGTAAGGCTTGACCCAATCCCATGTCTTGATCACACTGTCAGATTAAAATAATTCATCCGCACCTGAACCTCGTGATGCAGTAAATCTTATCAAATGTTTAAGAGAAACTTTTGCAAAGCTCAATATATTGATAATATTAGATCTATATATAATTTTTTTGACTTTATACTGAGACCAATTAATTTAATGAAAGTGTATGTACCTCTTTTGAGATGGGGTAAACAAAACTCACATATCTAGTTTACAGAATGATCCATGATGATCGATGTGCAATAATTTTATCACATACATAATCCTATCAAAATTACTTAACGACGTTCGATCCTGATATTTAAAGTCTTAAACTTTTTTTTGACAAGTATATTTTTAGTTTCTACATACATAGCTTAATTAAAATTCAAATCAAAAAATGGGGGTCAATACGCTTCTTTTGGCGCTACAGTACATTTAGTATGACCTTTTTGCACTGAAATTTGTGTCTTAATTAAAAATTGATTTTTTAAAGTTTTCCCTCCAATATTTTTATCCAATTAAAGCATGTCACAAAATGAACTCTAAGTTTGTTTAAAAAAAGACACTTAACAATTGTGACTAAGAAAAAGTTTCAAATTGCTTTGCATAATCAATTATTTGACCTTTCTGCACTAATAAAAGGTGATTTTTCTGGCATTGAAAATTTAACAAGCTAGAAAATTATTTTAAAGTCTTAAACTTTTTCTAATTTTAAGCAAATAGGTCAAATTTTTCTTGAATATATAGAAAAGGACATCAAAATTTGGGGTATATGATATAAACTACTAAAAAAATGTCAATTTTACGTTAAAATTGGCTCAATTTTTTCCCGGATTTTCAGAATGTATATACTATATTTGTCACACTTTGTTAATAAAATTCATAAGAAATAATTTAATAGATATTTCAGAACCAGCATAACACATTTCACGGCAAAAATCAGCTTTGTGTACAACCAGGATGGAAAAATAGGAATCCAAAATTAACAGTACTGTTATAGTTCAAAATGGAAAAACTGATCATTTTCGTCTAAAAAACCTTCCGCCACAAAATATAGTTCCTACCTTATTTTACTTGAATGGAATTTAATCGCGGTTTTGTCATTGAATATAGTTAAATTTGCTCTGTAGAATCCAGATTGAATGTTAGAACTTAAAAATGATACAGAATTTTTTTAATAAAGGACCTGACGAAAATGCGCTCAAAATCTCAGGATCGAACGTCCTTAAGTGGGACCATTTTTTAATTATAAATAGGGACTTTATTAATATTATGACGTGGCTCTTTTCACAAATTAAAAAAAAATCTTCCGACTAAGATAAAGAGTTGACCACTCTGCATTTCTTTTAATAAATACATTTTAATTTCTTTTGATAAATATTTTACAATGTTATCAAATATAATAGAAATAGAAGATTTTTTGTCCTGTTACGTACAGCCTATATAGAAACTTCTGAAGAAAAGGAAACTTTTTGTCTTAAAGAAGTCGAAAGATTTTTTTGTGAAAAGTGCTACAGCTAGTTTCCACTACAGTGTGTGAATGATATAGTCCATAGGCGTCGGAACCGGGGGGGGGGTCTTAGCCCCCACCCTACTTTTTTTTGCAAAGATAGACACAATAAAGACAGAACACTGGGGCGTAGGTTTAACCCCCCCTTTTTTCAATACGCACAGGTTGCAGTGCATTCAAATTTTAAGAAGGGTAAGTGATAGGGGTTTTTCATGGGTTTTTTTCTCTTTCAATTAGCCCCCCTTTCATTTTACTTCCGACTCCAATTTATTAATAATGTTGTGAATCAAGGGTACAAACCTTTTATTCCGAAGAAAATAAAATGTTCTATAATAATGGAAAACGAAATTAATATACTGATGAACAGAAATCGATGTAATGGGGTATAGCGATACATGAAGGGATACAAAAGTTTACTATAAGATGTAAGTAAGTAAAATACCCGGGATTTTCAGTGCCCAGGCAGTGGCGGATGAAGGGGGGGCTAAACTCATAGTTTTGTCGAGAAAAAATGTCTTATCGGTATTCCTTATTTTTACCTTACAATCTCTGAATTCCAGGATCTAGGAATTTTCGGGGCTAGCTTCGCCAGTTTTTACTAAATAAGAAAATCACTTCCGAGAAGCATTAAACAAAGGGTATAAATTCAATGCTTACAAAAGCAAAATGTAAGGATTCGTTATTCATAAAAACCGAAAATTTATCAAGTTGTTTTTGATGATTTTAAAAAGCTGTGGACACATGCACTCGATCATGCAGATAAAAGAGAACACAGAGACAGAGATTAATTGATAGCTTGTTGAGACAGTGCAATATAATTATCTTGTCATAGAAAAAGAAAGACTTTCTCTTTAACCACGGATGAGAGATTCTGCAAAGCTTTGTGTGGCGATCTAGTTGTATAAATCTAATTTTAATAATAAGGTTGAGAGATTTCGTAATGTGCAACACAGGGAAGATTATAATGAAGATCAATTTCAATTTCTGCTTTTCTATTCATCCTATACACTGGTACAGTACAGGGCCTTGTGGACATCATCATATACTTTACAACATTTACTTTGACATTCAGCTGTCAAAATACAACTGTAATAAAAGGTTAACTTTTCAAAAAATAAAAAATATGATTTTTTTTTTCTAGGAAAAAATATAACTTTTTTATGATACTTGTGCATTTGTACTTTACTTCAATAGCCAATGTGCAGATAGAAATACTGAACTTGAAATAGCAAACTCATTTATTTTAAAAATGCCATATATTTCGAAATAATTTCATAATAATTATTGTACAAATGATTATATGATTAATATGCATATCCTTACATTCTAGAATATTGCATTTATTAAATTTATGAACATCTCATATATAATGAGCAAGTAGTTGTCTCTTTGCCAGTTGACTGAGTTGTTGTAATATTGTGTTTGCAAGCGCCAAAATATGATTATAAATATCAATTGTAAATTACAAGTGTCTTATTACAAATTATTTATTTTAATGACATATTGATTATATTTTTTAAAGCTTTTTTTTTTTTTTACTCTAAATCGAATGCTTAAAAATTTTGCAACCGATTTGATTTTTTTGTGTGGTTTTTAACTATCGGGATCGGACTTCAATTTATTCGAAATCGATAAACATTACCCCGATGCTAAAAATATCAATGAACAACAGTTTATTTTTAACACGAAAGAAAATGTCCATTTATGGTATTGTATATTTTTCAGAGCTGAGAAGCATGGGTTAACAATTGGTAAGGCAATGTGAAGTGAGTCTTTGGAGTGTTAAGCAGGGTAGACTGCGTTTATAACACTGTCACCGTGCATTTCAGTTTTAGCAGCTGAAGAACAAGATGGAAACAAGTTCTCGCGGCAATGTGTACGTGAAGATAGATGGACGGTGGGTGATTGCAACCCTGGGGTATGACCTAGACACTGATAATGCAGCGCAAGTCGTAGCGGGGAATTCTAGGGACATCAAATCCCAAGCAAATCAGCTTCAACAAATCAATCAAAGGTATTAAGGCCTAGAAAAAAATATGTTTGTTTCCGCTTTCAGGCTGAAAAAAATATAGGTTAGGTAGGTGGGCAATTTTTTTTTTTTGAAAATTTTTTTTTTACTTCTTTAATCAAAACGTGTATAGAAGTAACATTAATGACAAATGAAATGGTGTTTTCAACTTTAAAGCATTTCTGTGACTTAAACTTATAATAGAAAGGTGACTCAAACTTCTTTCTGTCTTGAAAAGCTTGCAAAGTTGGAGACTATATAATTCCCTGGGTGAAATCTTGCACTTCATGGGACAAAAGCGTTAAAAAAATTTAGGGTCAGCACTATAACTTAGGGTCGGTCGGGAAAGTGGAAACAAACATTTTTTTCCTAGGCCTAATTAAATGCTTATTTGTCAAAAAAATCTATAAACATGATAAATATAAAGTATATTTATTAATCTAAAATAAACATCTTGTATAACAATTAAAAAATTTCAATTACAGTGTAGTAGTGTTGTCAAATCGGTTGAAAATCAGAATCGATTAAAATAAATATAGGTAGCATCCGTTGACCCTAACCAACTGATCATCGGCCAATAATCGAATCGGTAACCCTTTGCATAAAATAGGCACTACATTTCATATAAAATTTAGAATTTTATTTTTAAATAATGTAAATAAAGGTGCATTGTACAGATCGAAATTCTAAAAACAGTATATATGTAGTTTGAATAACAATTTCAGTAGGCCTAATACAGATTTTTGCATGATTAGGGATTACTTGGCCTGGGAAACATAAGCATTGACAGATCAGGTTTTAATTTACAAATTAGATCATCTAAAATACTGGTTTATATGTGGAATTAATTTTTTAAACTGTTATGACTTAATATCACAAATCCTTGTGAATTCGTATGATATGAAAAGTGAATTCCCCCAAATACTGAATACTTTTATATATCTCCTAAATATCAAGGTGCGCTATGTAAAATTTCGGCGGCCATTTTGAAGTGGCGAATAATTATGTCCCTTGACTGTAGTTTAGTTTCTTCAGTTTAGAAATACAATTATCATTATCTTGTGATTTATTTTAAACAGATTTTAAGTACATGTATTTTAAAATAGATATTAATGGACAACACTTGGAAGATATATAGTTTGATAACAAGAGCCTGTTTTTGAAATAAAAATGAGAAAACTATAAAAAAGATATGTGCTGAAATACACCGATTAATCAATTGGGCCTAGAAAAAAAATATATTTGTTTCCGCTTTCAGGCTGAAAAAATATAGGGTAGGTAGGTAGGCAATTTATTTTTGTTCTTTAATCAAAACATGTATAGAAGAAATATTAATGACAAAAGAAATGGTGTTTTCAAGCATTTCTGTGACTTAAACTTATAATAGAAAGGTTAAAAGCTTGCAAAGTTGGAGACTCTAATTCCCTGGGTGAAATCTTGCACTTCCTGGGACAAAAGCATTAAAAAAAATTTTAGGGTCGGCACTATAAATTAGGGACGGTCGGGAAAGCGGAAACAAACATATTTTTTTTCTAGGCCTTGTTTAAATCTCCAATTGATTGTCTAAAATCGACAGCCTTTCCGACCGATCATCGATTATAAATTGATCATCGTGACAACACTACAGTGTAGTCACTGATTCCTGGTAGTCTCCAATTCTGGTTCACTCATGTGTATATTTCATGCCATATTCATTATTGTTAAAGTCAATCAAAAAGAGCATCCCACAAACGAAATTATGAAATAGTTGCAATAATGTAGCCCTCTCCTTTTCTTTGGGGGGGGGGAGACAATAATGTCAGATTTAAAAAAAATTGGACAGGGCTACATTATTGCTGCTAGGGTGTTCATGGTGTTTGTGTTTCTGTTTCGTTCAGGGGCTATACTTTCGTTCTTGTTTACTGCAGCAAGGCTGATATTAAAGTTCTAGCAGTGGCATAGCATCGTTTTTTGAAAGTGGGGGGGGGGCCAGCCAGAGAAAATTTTTGTTTACTTACCTGAAAAAGTTGACAAGCAAAAAAAAAGTTGCCAAACTCAAAAATCCTATTTCGTAGGGGGGGGGGGGGGGGGTAGTAGTAGTAGCCAACTTTTTCCAAGCCAAGTTACTTTCACTTCCATTTTTTTTCCTACATTCCTTTCTATCACTATACTATGGTAAAAAGTGGGGGGGGGGGGGGGGTCCCCCATCCTTTAAATGAACAATTACTATAGTAAAGGTTATGTTGGGGAAAAAAGTGGGGATGGAAGGTGTAAGATGAGGTGTTTGAGAGAGAAACAAACGACAACTCTCCATGGGAAATTGCTCTGCAGTCTCATTCACTTTTTACAAGTAAAATTATATATAAATTAAACTTCAATAGCAAAGGTCAAAATTCAAATTTGATGGTATCCAAGGAAAGGTCCTGTCACAAGGAATACAAACATAAAATATGAAAACTGCCAATGCCAATGTTAAAGTAGATCAAAACACAAGGTCAAGTTCAAAGGGTCAAAATTGCCCAAAGGGACCATCTTGTCACAAGGAATATAAATTTGAAATGTTAAAGTTGTAGGACCAACTGTTCAAAAGTTATGGTGAAAGTTATTAAATTTCAAAAAAAGGTCAAACTCTAAGGTCAAGGATAATAATCAAAACTGTTGAAGGTCAAGGGAAGGTCTTGCCACAAAAAATACTCATGTGAAATATGAAAGCCCTAGCACAAATCTTTCATAAGTTATGGTCAAATCAATGTTAAACGGTCAAAATTGTTGGTACTCAAGACTCTCTCCATACGAGTGAAAAATTCTCGAGTGGGACGTTAAACAATATACAATCAATCAATTTATCATATATGAATGAAACATATGAGGATAACGAACAGTATTCAAGATCAAAAGTCCATAGAGCAAACACAGACCTCCATAACATCAGAGGTAGGATCAGGTGCCATGGAGGAGTGAGCATCCCCTGCCAACTGGTATTGCCCGCTGTATGCTCGTTGTCATGATCATAACATGAAATGTTATAAAGTTAACTATTTTTCAGGGCAGTTTATATAAATATTGACAACAGGACTGGGTATCAACCTGATCTGCCTATTCTGAGAAATATACAAGGCATTGGCCGACAGGTATGTTTTTATTCTGATTTTCTATGAGATGAGATCTTCAAAAATTGTCAAAACTTATCAACCTATTTTTTTTATCAATTATACCTATATGACTTAAGTATGCATCCAAATATTTGCATCCTAAATATGTAATTTATAATCACTACTAAGGTCTTTCCTTTCTCTTTCATCAAAATTGGACAAAACATTTATTGTTCCCAGGTACATTTATATAATACACACAATCATAAATAACATGATGTTAATTGTTTTGAACTGGACCATGACTTTTAAATGCTGCCTTTAATGAATATAATCTCTAGGGTTCTGAAAAACATGTTAAATCCCAAATCTTGCTTATAAACATGTTAAATATTTATTTGAAACAGGAAAGGGGGGATCCTTACTTGGATTTACATTAAAACCCTATCTTGATTAGTGTTATAAAACAGCAGTTCAGCCAGTTGTTCATGTATCTTCTGACTGTTAAATTTCTTTCTTTATAAAAGAATTTTTGCCCTGGATCCTGGTCATGGCACCAATTTAAACAAGGGGGAGATAGCAAAGAATGTTTATCTGCATTCTCTGAAACCTTATCAAGATGTTTTAATTAAAAAAGCTTAAACCTATTTGACTATCTCCCACATTTAAGTATCTTTTAAGTATCTTTTTTTTATCACATTTATTTTGCTTTTAATCCAAATTAATGAAATATATTACATTATTTTTCAAATGCTAACAGAAAGATACAAGACTTTAGGGACAATACCTAAAAATATTTGAAAAGTTAAGGTCAATATCAAGAGTCCAGTCAAAATCTCTTTGTTACTGGGCTTTTGAAAGCATTGCTGAGCTTATTTCTTAGAAATAAAAATTAGTAAAGATTGATTTGCATAATATGCTTTACAAAACAGATATATTTACATGTTTCATCTAATATATGCATGCTACTCATGTTAATCAGGGATTTTATTTTTTGGTTTATTTGTAAATATGTAAATATTTTGTACGCTGTATATCTTGTGTCAAGGTCATTTTCAACAACAATACATCACAATTAAAATCTCTTGTTTAAATAAGGTTTTGCTTTTTGTTAGAGTGCTGTGATATTAGGTAATGCCATTTTTTTTTATTTCCAGAGAAAAACTAATGAAAGCATAAGCACTGTTCTACAGAAACTGAACTTTGAAGAATATGCTCTGCAGTTCAGAGAATTTGCCTACTGTTGTGAGGTATGTACTAACAGAGACAGTTATACTGACAGATGCATGTACTTTTTCACAGACGTGTAGAACTTTGTTCATTAGACTTACACTTAAGTCATATTGAGAATTGGAAAAAAAGTAACCACAAGTAGCATGTGACAGTCTGCTGTAAAATTCTGAAGTTTGCCTCAATCCTCTGCTTATATATTTTTAACAATATCGATCTAATTTAATGTCAGCAAACATATTTTTGTTTAATTTCAAGCATTAAAATCAAATATAAAGCCATATCATAGTTTGTGTTGTGTTTTTGATTGCTATCGATAAATCATAAACATAAACCTTTTACAATCAGTTTTACAGACTGCTAGTGAAGCACAAACTTCACAGACTCAGTGGGACCGTACAGAAACATGTGTTTGGTGTACTGGAGCAAATGACAAACGCTGGTACGCAATTCTCCTGCTGGTATTGTCCTTACACAAGTTTGCTTGAAAAAATAAATCTCTTAAAACAGCACCATCAGATACAGAAAACTTAGTAATCATGCCATTCATTCTTCATTGATGTAATTATTATGTAATGGGAAAAAAGTAATAATGATTAAACAATGTGAAACTTTTTCTCTGTTCATTCAAATTTGTAGCACCACAACACAATTAATATTTGTTTATCATGTATAAACTGCATTTCTAAACATAAATTTTGTAGTTGGTCTTGAAAACTATAGAAGTGCAATAATTTATAATTTTATACATTTCTAGCTATATCAATGGAACTGTTTATACCCCCACTGAAGCACATTTCATACATTTCTAGCCATATCAATGGAACTGTTTATACCCCCACTGAAGCACACCCTGAAGGAAGTGTTGGACAGTATGACAGATAATGAAAACGCCATGATAGGAAGTAAATCATTGAGGAGGAAACATCACGATCTCATCAACAACTGTCTGGTCAGGATATCAAGGTTCCAGTATACACAGGTAACTGTCTGGTCAGGATATCAAGGTTCCAGTATACACAGGTAACTGTCTGGTCAGGATATCAAGGTTCCAGTATACACAGGTAACTGTTTGGTTAGGATATCTAGGTTCCAGTATAAACAGGTAACTGTCTGGTCAGGATATCAAGGTTCCAGTATACACAGGTAACTGTTTGGTCAGGATATCAAGGTTCCAGTATACACAGATAACTGTCTGGTCAGGATATCAAGGTTACAGTATACACAGATAACTGTCTGGTTAGGATATCAAGGGTCCAGTATAAACAGGTAAGGGCTAATATCAGTATCTGTTTGGTCAGGATATCAAGGTTCCAGTATACATAGGTAACTGTCTGGTCAGGATATCAAGGTTCCAGTATACACAGGTAACTGTCTGGTCAGGATATCAAGGTGCCAGTATACACAAGTAAGTGTCTGGCCAGGATATCAAGGTTCCAGTATACACAGGTAAGGGCTAATATCAATAACTGTTTGGTCAGGATATCTAAGGTTTCAGTATATGCAGGTGAGATTGTCATTGCTCCTTTCTGGTCAGAATTTTGTCATAGCAATTTAGGAACAAATTTTTATTGGGAGTTGAACTATGTTCAATCTTCCATGGTCATCACGTATTTAACATGCGCAGTAATTTGTGTTGATTATATAGAGCCGAAAGCGAGGCTTTTTTTTTTTTTGCTTATGAATGGTCAAACATCCCCGGACCGAAAATACCTGAGGCCTGTTCAGCAGAGCGAGCGCTCGCCAAATTTCCTTATACCTCCAATAGTAATTTTGGCGAGCGCTCGCGAACGCTCGCTCTGCTGAACAGGCCTCAGGTGTTATATTTACAGTGGACACCCAATATGGCATCCAAAATGGCTGCCAAGCGGCAGAAAACAAACTTCAGAAAGTTGTAGGGGGAAACTGTTGTTACAATAATGATTACTCTTTATATTTAAGGTAAATGTACACTAAGTTGACATATTTTATGTCTCAAATTAAGCTACAAGCTATTTTTTTAAATTCAATAAATGGAATCAGCTGATTGATCAAACGAAGTTTTGCCATTTGTCAGAAAAAAAATCCACCCGGGGATAATTTGAATGGGTCGGTCGGGTTACAGGAAACAAACATATTTTTTTTAGGCCTAAAATATTAATATACTCGAGACCTATAAAAGTAATAATTCCTTTCATAAAATAGACAGGGAGTATTCCCAAGGAGTATTGAGGAGTAGAGTGGAATTTTTTTCAATTAAGTGTAAAATAATTTTTCTGGCTGTCATAAACGATACTACATGCCTGTATATATTTGTATATTCTTGTTTTTGAATAGTTGAAATATTTTATTTCTTTAGGCTATTGTTTATTTCTTCCTCAAATGGACTTAACTTCTCCCTTAGTTTTATTCATTACATCTGATGCATAAGCGACCCTTTTCTGAAGAATGATGCTAAGACTGTAAGCTATGACAGAAACCTAAACAATGTCTCTGACAATAGCTACCATGGGCAGTTTTAAACCTGTGGGAGGAAAATAATTTACAACTAGAAACGATCTCGTTGCGAGCAACGAGAGGTCTTCCGTCCGTTTCAGGAAAAGAACCTAAAATCGAGCTGAAAAAGTAATAAAAAAGATTTGGTTACAAAGGGGATTGAACCCAGGTCGCCAGCGTGAAAACCCAACGCCCTTTTTTCCTCCTTATTCCCAACATGCTTAAATTACGCGTTTGAGTCCACTGCTCTAAATGTACTTAAATATACTTCTTCAACAATACATCTGTCTAAGAATCACGAAAGGCGCGGCACAATTTATAATTTCGCGCCAAACGCCACAAGTTGATCTGCGCGCCTTTTCTTTAGAATGTTTCATTAAATAAGTGTGATAGCTTCAATAGAATAAAGAAAAAGGAACGTTCTTTAAGCCCTAATTTCGAGGTTTAGAAAATATATTTCACAGATTGTACATATTCTATATCTTATATAGGTAAGTAACACAAAAGAAATGAAAAGGTGAACTAACCCGATTCTTTACACCTTCATGAAAAGGTAGAAATTAAATATTAAATTAAACAACTTCTTATCGCCTTTATTTTATTTCGACGCTAAGAAAGTAAATTTAACACATTGCACACACGTATCTAGCCCAATTACACTAAAACAGTAAAACGGGAATTAAGTTTTGAGATTGTCACTATATTTCAGCGTACTGATAGGTGAAATTCAATGTAGTATTTTTACTTTTCATGTATCATTTAGTCAAACGCTCAGCTGCCTCCATAAACCCCTACTCGCGAAATGGCGGAGTTGACAGAGACAGCCGCCATCTTGGGTCCGCTTCAGATTTTCAAATATTAATATCTAGAGTTCTGATTAACCAATATTCAAACAAGTTATATTTTAAGCTCTATTGAAAAAGTGTCTATTAGCATTCCAAAAAGAAATGAAAAATATTGAAAATCAAAAAAGTTAGAAAATTCGATTTTTTATCTTCGCATCTCCTTACGACAGGAAGTACTGACGACGAACAAATTGTCGCGTCCTGGATAGTAAATATCACGATTTATAATCCCTGAAAGTTTCATGTTGATATCTTTTACCGTTTTTGAGTTTAATCGTGGACAAAATGTCATTTTAATTTCAGGAAAAGTCCCGTAACTTGGCACCGGAAGCGAGTTTTCAAAAAATCTCTCGGAAAAAATAACTTCAGATGACAACACATTATTCCTGTAAATTTCATGAAAATCCATCCAGTAATCTTTGAGAAATCGCGTGCACAAAATTTGATGTACGGAAAAATAATAATAATAATAATAATAATAATAATAATAAGAAACAATAGAATCACTATAAGGTCTTCCGTGAAGACGGAAGACCTTAACTACAGACAGTGAGTTACTTTTGAATATGGATACATAATTATCTCACCAACATGCCACTTTGCAACAAAGTCGTCAGCATTTTATTGTTCTCTGAACGGGTGGAACGTTTTGAATGGCTCTCCTATCGATAAGTATTTACATTAAACTAAGCTTTAGTGCTGCTATGGACTTCACACAAATCTCCCTTCATTACCTGCCATGTTCATTTAAAACCGGAAGTACGAGTTCGTAAATTTGAAATCTCGATCCCGACTCAAATTTGACATCGGAAAGAAAAAATTCTGTTTTTCTCAATTTTATTTTTTTTCTGAAAATTTAAAAACTTGAGCGGCGGGTTTGTAAACCTAAAAATAAAAAAATGCTGGCCTAATAATGATAAAGTTATCTTATTTTGAATATTAGATTTCATTCAAAGTAAAACTAAATTATAAAGAACCTCAACAGTTTTTCGTAATGGAACTCATTTTTTGTGTGGCGTCATACACTGAAAAAGATATGATCGACAACTTTACATACTAACGGCAAGTGGTAAATCTAGTCGTCCCGACGCCCGACGGTCCCGGATTTTTAGCAATTTCTTTTTTTTTACCGGTGCACAGAATTTATTCAAACTTTTCATGAACATTTTCTTGGTTTAAATGAATTCATTAATGCATAAAAACTTTAGGAAACATGCGTATTTATTACTAAATCAGCAGTATCACCTGCCAAAAGCGATAAATCTAGTACTCTGTTATAAAGGTTAAAACCAAAAAACGGACACTGATGTTTTCGTAAAATCATTTCATAAAAACAACAAAATGAAGTTTTTTTTTTTTTAATAAAAGGAAAACCTCATTTACAGATAACTCGTACGCACACAAACTCTCACATACACCATTGTTTTTATGTTTGGTCATTAAATATTTGTTTTAAACTTGGTATTGCTATTTTCTTCACAATATTAAAAAAGATTAAGTTCTGACGTACTCCATGTATAATGTTCGTGCAATTGAAATACATTTATATTCACAGAGAAGTTTTATATAACAAACCTGTCAGCTCTTAAAAGGATGCTGTGTTAAAATCCACATTTTATCAACATTGATATTATTCCTGCGAAACTGAAATTTTCATAACACATGGTAAAGGTGCCAAGGAAAAATATCTTACAAATTTGAAGACTGTGAGCAGTGAATTATATAAATGATCAACCGCCTCTAATATGAATATAATGACAGTGTCCATGTTTTGCAATGGGAAACCCAAAATATGTGTAGGATGGAAAAGTAATAGAAGGTGCACAATGGCAATATGTAATAAAGATTCTATGAAAATTTCGTTCAGTGGTGTAAGAGGAGTTGCGGATAAGAGATGGGTATACCTAAAGCGTAACAAACAGATAGACGGAAATCCAGATTAATAAATACCCTCCCGCTTTTCAAGCAGGGGGTATAAAAAAAGGACTAATATAGGCAGGCAACAATATGGCCCATGCATTTTTTTGCTATTTAATGTCTCTGAATGTCTTTCTCAAGATTTTTGCAACTCAAAAAATCTGAAACAGTTGTCTGTATTTGAAATAATAAAATATTGTTCACTCACTTAACCTCCAGATCAAAGATTTTATTAAACACCACGTTCAACTCCCATGAGTGCTTTCAGTACTTTGATTTTTATGATTAACAAATGCAGACTTAATTTATTTAATAATTTCTTAACCCTGATTTGTTTCAGAGAGAAGATGATGGGAAGCTTTGTCTTCTTGATTTACCCAAGGAGTGCCTCATCAGCATAATGAAGAAACTGGATCAACCCCGGGACATTGTTAATGTGGCCTTGACCTGTTCCACCCTGGAGGTCATTGCCATGGATAATGAAGTTTGGGAATCCATGTGTCTTTATCACTTTAATGACAAGGCCATGAGCGATTATATCAGCCATATTGAATACTACAGTGTGGACTGGCTGGATGTCTTCAAATTCTGCAGCAAGTAAGTTATGTGAATCATTGTTAAAGTGGTCGCATGACTTATTGTTAAAATGGTTGCATGACTCTTTGTTAAAGTGATCATATGACTTATTGTTACAGTGATCATGTGACATAGTGTAAGTGGTCATGTGACTTATTGTTAGCTAAAAAGAAAACATTCATAAAATAAATATTACTTTGTGTGAGAAAAGAAACTTCTGAAAAATGTTGTTTAATGTGTAGGAATGTCATCTACTTCTGGGGTTACTGTAGCTTGTATAAAAAATAATCATTCAAATATTTGTAATAATGTTTAGAATTTTCATTTGCTCTCTGTCAGCATTTGCTGGAAACAATTCATAAAAAGCTTTTTAAGTAATAATAATAAGATTTTATTTGAACAGGAAAATTAAAGCTTTTAAGAGGATATATGGAGATGATCTAGTGGTTTGTGATAACTGTAGAGGCGTGTTCTGGAGGGTAAGATATTAAGTCCATCTTTAGATAATATATTGTTGTCGTAAATATCATAAAAACAATGAAAAAAAGGTCAATGCTGATCTTACTAGATAACATATACACATTGAATACTTTTTCTTAAAAAGATGATAATTTAAAATTAAGAACAGATGAGGCATCATGTTTGGTAAATGCGTTTTTGGTGAAAAATATTTTGATTAATATGCTGATAGATATAAAAGTCTCATTATATCAATATTTTGTATGAATTAAAGGAATGAAATAAAAATTGAAATGTAGCCATTCAATGTTTAGAAATCTATTTTATGATATACTTTTAAATATAAAGCTGTGATTTTGTATTATCTTCCTTAGGTGGTGGGCCATGACTGTCTAAACAAAGAAGAAGCTCCATCACACACCCTTCTGACTCCATCTGATTTCCTAGACCTACTCAATCTATAAATATACATGTGGTACATAAAGACTTACACTTTAGAAGTTCACAGATTTACATATCTCTTTGAAACTTTACAAATGGCAACACTGACTATAAGGAAACATCTGTGTTTAAGCTTATTTTTGTGGTCTTTATCTTGAATGTTTGTAATATAAGCATTTACATTTTTCCCCATTGACTTTTGATTTCACATAGTGAACACATATTTGTTATTTTTTTAATGAATAAAGCAGTATATTGGCTGCCTTTTTAAATAAATTTACTGATTGTATGTTTTTTTTACTTACTTAGACCCTTTGGGACATATTTTTTTTTATATAATTTTTTTATCCTTCATTAATTTTTTGGACTTTGTTTTACAGGTACAATGTACCAATGTACCAATCGATTTTTATGCTTGTTAATATTATCAAAGAAAAATTAGCAAAACTAAAAGTAAGATATGCTTACATTTGTTACAAGTCCATTGTATATGGAACAGCAGTTAATTAAGCTGTACATAATGGCCATTATACCTGTATGTAGTGTAATTTTGTTTGTTTTTGAGTTATTAAAAATAAACCAGTGCTTTCTAGTTATTTTATGTATTGGTAGAAAGAGGATCCCATGACATAAGAATATGTATAGATAATATTAAACTTGCTTAATTAAGCAAAAACAAAATGAGAACTCATCCTTGGTCAATGCAATTCTTTGTGTTTCTTTCTGTGTGTGTTTTATGGCACCAGTGCAAGTAAGCCACCATGTTTTTCTTTTACAAAAACATTTTTATAAATTAAATCATGTGATTTAATAAAGGTGGACTTATTTGCATGATTCATAAATATGCACAGGAAAAAAATCTTATGCAATCAATCACATCTATATGACTGCATAGAGCAGACACATTGGACCAGAAATGATAAGTGCCAAATTGCAAATTGAATGATAAACGAGAAGACTTTGGCTTTTCCACCATCAGTGTTCCTTTTCCATTTGATATTCAAGAGCATGCTTCGATAAACATGTACTGCATTTAATTATGCACCGTCAGGGGGCGATCATCATAAAGTAGTTCCAAATACTCCTGTGTTCTACGGATCTATACTTTTTTATACAAATGTCACAGACCTATATATATGTTCAACAACTTCTATATGGGTATTAATGCCTATAAAGTTTTTTTTATTTAATGCAGGTTTATAAAGTTTTTTATTTAATGCAGGTTTTGAACAATTCGGGTATTTTTGATATAACAAACTAAAAGATATATTATATAAATATTGCATGTAGTTGAGTGTAACATTGAAAATTTTCACCCCAAGAAAACCATTGTCAACCGAGGCGCACCCGAGGTTGACAATGGTTTTCGAGGGGTGAAAATTTTCAATGTTACACTCAACTACATGCAATATTTATTATATTATACTGAATGTTTGATACAATACATATTACAGTGAACTGTGCGCGCATAAATTCCGCGCAGTCGCTATTTTTGGGAATACCACCCGTCGTCAAGCAATGTTGACTGTTGCTACGCAAGAGGGCGTGGTTTCATTATTCAGCGGGTAGCAGTGTTTTTTATCAAATGTTTCTCGACGAATCAGATTCAAGTAATTTACATGAAAGTATAATATAATATATTATCAAACGGATTCTTGTCTGCAATTTTGCAAATCCTGTTTTAAAAAATCCAATGAGATTGTTAATATCTGCGATCATTAATACATGTATTGGTGTCCTTCGTTAGAAATCTGCATACACCTCTCCCCATTCCTGAATCTGTGTCTTCAATAACGTCAATTTCTAACACGGATTTGTAGGTGTGCTCAGTGACTGCAAAAAGATATGGATCAATTTTAAACCTGAGAGAGTCAAGTTATATAATACTCAGTTGCAGCTAGTGTTCTTTACGTTTTGCCTTGAAAAGAGTAACGTCGCAACTTTATTTTTATGATATTTATAACCCTCTCTCTGATGAGTTAAGGAAGGGGAACCTGTCACATACTTACATAAAGATTCCAGGGTGACCGGTAGTTTTATTGGTGTTGGAAAGAAACTAAAAGCTGACTTGAAATAGGGCTGATTTCTTTGACTGACTTTAGTGAGGCAAAATAGACACACATCTGTATATATAAAAAAGACACAAGACATCATCTATATATAAACACAAAATAAGACAAATGACATCATACATAGACATCATCTACGAGGGTTGTCCCGTAAAATCGTGGACAAGTTGTCTAGTGTAAAAAATAAACATCACTGCGTTCTGAAATTTTCACTATTATTTAGTACATATTTTAGTAATATACGCAGTAAATTTCAGATAAATATATGCATAAATAAACAAATTATGTGATTTTATGCCATGCATTGTATCACCTTACGGCGCATGGATTATAACGTCAAAGTGTCTAAAACAGCGTCACGTTTTATCTTTGCTGAAAATAAAGTTGGATGAGTCCGACTTAAATTTAGGAATTTCATTGATACACATTCTTTCGTTTCCATAAACACTTGAAGAACCAGTTGCATGGCACTCTCATGCGATCTTCTGAAGATTGATCAGTAAGTTACGGACAATATTCTCACCATCATTCAACTAATAGAAAATCTCATATCGGCGGTCTACTGTGACAGCGTCTTTTGCTTTTACATTAGAAGTTTGTCCGTATGTTTTTTACTCCTCAGGAACTCGATCAAAAAAAATTTCGCTAAGAAAACTCCTATTTCATTTGTATACTTAAGATGTGGTGATATTTTTATAATCTTTTTTTCTTCTATGGTCATTTCAAGTCTCTAAAGGTGTCATTACAACATCGAATGAAAACGGAACTGGTCTCCGGTGCGCCATAACGTCATAAAACGTCGCCATTTTTCGTGTGTTGTGTTTACCACTTTCCCATTTCGAATGCTCGAGAAAGTGCCAAAAATTAAACATATGCCTTAAAATTTTTACAAAGACTAAGAAATTGATTGTGGAATTGAATTAGGATAATTTTAATCCAAATCTTATGTATTTAAAACTATTTTGAATTCAAACTTGTGTATTCATTAATAAAACCTTGGTTTTTTGTCCGTGCGCCGTAGGACAATATCCCGTGCACATTCAAGCATAGTAACATCTTTATTTTTGCCTATATTTTATCAAAAAAATTGTCATGCATTTAAATATGATAAATAAACATTTACTGAAATTTTCAGCTTGGTGCGCCTATTACTTTTCGAGAAAAACGCGTTGTCCATGATTTTACGGGACAACCCTCGTATATAAAGATACAAAGAAGAATATGGAGATAACGCGAGCAGTATTCAATCTCAAAGTCCATAAAACAATACAAAATAGGAACAGAGCAAACACGAACCTCCAAAACATCAGAGGTGGGATCAGGTGCCATGGAGGAGTGAGCATCCCCTGCTGACCGGTCACACCCGCTGTATGCTCCTTGTCAAGATCGGGAAATAACGGAAATATCCGTCCGTCGTCAATTCAGTGTATAAAATAATGGACTAACAATTAGTATGAAAAACGTACGACAGCATCTGACTCAATGATAAATTGTATTTGCTGACAAAGTCATTGTATTCGCGACCATAGAACTTTAGAAATGATGACTTTAAACGAGACTGTGGATATAAGATAAGACAACAGACATCAACTATATATAGACACAAAATGACAAAAGACATTTTTCTCCGTTACACTACATTTCCGCCACTCCTGAGAAACGCCGTGGGTTCCATCCTCGCAATGCCAAGAGTCCTGAGTCAGCATATTCCTATCCTACAGAACCCCTGGTATTGCAAGGCACTTTAATTGTTTTGGAAATAAATGTTCAACCCTAACTATAATAATAACATAATAGGTTAAAAAAAATTTCCGAAACAAGTTCTTGTGCAGGCAGTGCCAGAATTCCAGGGTTCCAATGATGGACAAAAGTAAATTATATAAACCTTGTTAACAGTATTATTTGACAATGTTAAGACAGGAGTGATTTATTATGACAGTTACCTTGTTTCTGTTTTCGGAGATAAAGTAAGAACAGATAGCAGACTACCACTACCGCCACCACTGATCCTAAGGTCCGTCCTGCGATGGTAGAGAACAACACACCAAAGAGGAAGGGCAAGACCTCCTGTAAAATATCTAACACTTATACATGTATCTTTTAACATGTTTTAAAGTGTGTTTTTAAAAATGTATTAGAATCCGAATACATGCATGATGTGTCTTTTGCTTCATATTTGCTGATACATTTTTATACTACCATCTTTAAAAGTAAATTAGAGAATAAATGTATTCTGGTTTGCAACTTACTACCATCAATGCTAATTAACAGTTGCTAACTTGGTTTTCATAGGCGATGCGTCATTTCATTGTACATAATGCATCTTTTTAGTTTTGTTGAATATTTTTATCTCATTTCATATGTTTATGCCATATTCTTAGATTTGTAATTTGCTTAATGAAAACAGCAAAAGTTTTAATGAAATCAATCACGTCTTGTTATTTTTTTTCATTCTTTCTTTCGCATATACACTACAGTTTTACTTTATTGTTGCAATATTATGAAATTTGAATGATTATGTTTGACATCGTGGTTTAAAGAAAGTCAAATAACTTAAAGGACAAGATAGGGTAACGACTGAATCTGGCCCCTTGGGGATTTTAAGTTAAAATCAAGTTAAAATGATGCTTACTGTAAAACAAGCACTAATTTAGATTCAAAGCTTACATGCTAGCCACTTGAGGGCGCAGAAGTAGGACATTTTCCAGAATTTCCTCAATTCTGGTGGAATTTCATCATATTTGAGATAGTCCCGTGGGGATCCGGGTTAGAATAGGTCCTCAGTACCCCCTTGCTTGTCGTAAAAGGCGACTAAATGGGGCGGTCCTTCGGATGAGACCGTATAAACCGAGGCCCCGTGTCACAGCAGGTGTGGCACGATAAAGATCCCTCCCTGCTCAAAGGCCGTAAGTGCCGAGCATAGACCTAAATTTGCAGCCCTTCACCGGCAATGGTGACGTCTCCATATCAGTGAAATATTCTGGAGAGGGACGTTAAACAGTATACAATCAATCAATTAATCTTCGGAAAACATAGAGCACAAGCTTGCCTATCTGAGATTTTTACACATAATAAACTGCATCTGATATCATTGGATAAAATATATAAATTTGGTAGATAAGCATGCTTGCTCTCTAATGTTTTCCAAAACCAAATGTGCTGTAAAATCAACAAAAATTTGCATAAAAATGAGAAAATTCAAAAATTGACTTATTTCCTGACATCACTGTGGCCTCTTTTTATTCTAAATCTTAGAACCAATACTCATTTTGTGGCAGGGGTGACAACAGGTTTTTATGGATAAACTGTTGGATCATTTTGAAAAACACCCAAAATCGGGGACCAGATGCTGATCTTACCCTATATCGTCCTTTTTTATCGAACTATTGTCAATTCATTGTACCTACACTGTACAAAATGTATGTTTAGCATGTTTAGAATCCAAAGACTTTTACATACACTTCGTCGCCATGTCCTTTTTATATATGTTTAAAGAGGTGACAAAGAAGTCACGGTATAGAAAAATAAATGTGTGGATTCTATACATGCCGAACACATTTACTATGTGTTTAAGAATTAAAACATATTGTAATATGCATGGGGGTTGGACTTTAGAATTTTGCATATTAATCACATGCTGATGGTAGAGTGTCTTAGTGATGTAAAGTAGCATCCAGTTGTAAATTATAAGAAATGTTTTATTGTTCATGTTATTTCATTATCTTATTGTTTACCTGAATTATTGATGCAATACACATTGCACTTCGACATTGTTATGTAAACAAATGCTGTTTTTGTGTTACTAGATGATCTAGTGATATATTGTTGAAGAGACAGTAAGGGACAGTTATACTGAGATGTTGTATGTCAGTTTTTCATCATTATCTACCATATTACGACTGTAATTAACTTACTTTTTCCAGCATTATCCCATGTGTTGTAAATTGAGCGCTTGCCATCTTTCTTACGAAGGAAGTAGTCATGTGACATAAACATTGTCGTTTTACAATTGATACGATCGAAATAACACTGTCCGTGTTCTCAAATATTTATGATTAATACTTAAATGTTATTTTATTGCAGTATTGTCAATTAATTACGTTTTATTTGACGAAATGTTTTGGAACTTGAATGTGTAGCGTAATACTTATGTGTTTGCATTATTGTTCGGTATTACTACGCCATGGATTGTGTGTGTCCGTTTTATTACAGATTGTTTGTTGAACTTATTTTATTATGTATATCGAATAGATTTAAAAGCTCCTACTTTACATGTAGAAAGGACATTTTGAGCGATGTTATTTTCTTTGTTTTACACAATATGTATGTAAAGTAGTTCTGTGAGGCTCCAGAAAGGACAATTATTCATTGGTTGTTGTGATCACGTGACCATTTACAGAAGGTTATATATATGAGCAGAGAACGCCAGTTTCAGAACAACGATCGTAACAATCAGATTATATTACGTCATCAACATCACTGACTGTAAATTATTAGCGACTTAGGTATGAGAAAATAATGTAAACTATACAAATTAAGTAGCGTATAATTTCTCCACCGCACGGACAACGCAATCCACTGTATTTTATTAGGCCAGAGATGTTAAGCTAGGACTTTCTACTCATAGATGTACTGACTGTTTTGTTATATTTCATTGAACTTTGAAGTCTTTATTAAATGAAATATTTGAAATGAGAAATGGAACTTGGTTATGATTTACAAGGATGTGAAGTAAATTATCAAGGGTGTTTAAATATATACATGCGACGGGCGGAGGATGCCCCCCCTTTTTTTATATGTGGACGGATGTCATGAGTAGTCCTGATAAAATTAAATTGATTGAATTTACACAGGATGGAAACACTGTAAGCTGATTGGCATTTGACAGGGTGCTGAGGAAGCTTACAATTTTTGGTGTCAGAAGTGGGATGTCCTGCCATATACGAGGACATCTAGGATACGAACCCGTACTTAAATACCTGTCAAGTACTGAAGTAGAGTGGATTGCGGACTGTCGTGTGGCGGAGAATAAAAAAAAATCAATTTTTAAATAGCCATGTATATATGTTCTTGTTACTGTTTATATAGTTAAGAATGGAGGATGCTACTTCGCCGAATCCTGAAGTATTTATAAATGAACATAAGGAAAATGTTCAGTTAGGCCAAGGGGACGAAACAGATGTCTGTGGGAGGAACACTGATGACGAATATTTAATGGCAAATGAAAATCCTTTGGGAAGACATGACAGTGACGACGACGATAAAGTAGGACATAATTTCCGTCGGCGATCTGATTATCAGTTAGCTGACGACGCACAAAGTGATCACAATCGTATTTCTACACTTATGATCAAACCCGAACCCTACAATGGAAAAGAAAGTTGGGAGGAATACTTTTCTCACTTTCAAGACTGCGCTGAACTAAGCCACTGGGACGACAGGATAAAACTTCTTTTCTTACCGCTAGCTTACATGGACAAGCCAGGACTTTCTACATGAGCCTAACTCCGGAGGAAAGACGCACCTTTAAAGTTCTTGTTCAGCGTATGGACCAGAGATTTGGTAGCTCAAAACACAAAATAGGTAGCTTTCAAAACTGGAAATGCGTAGGAGGATGCCTGGAGAAAGTATTGCAGATGTTGGAGACGATATACGGCAATTATCACAAAAAGCTTATAGTAACTTGGATATTGACGCTCAGGAATCACTGGCCCTGAACCACCTTTACAAAATTATTACCGTTGAAATGAAATGCCGTTGTATTGACAAGGAGTGTAGCACTGTTGCAGAAGCTGTAGACGTTATTGAGAGATACGAGTCAATAATGGGGGATGGGGATAAAAAGAAAATAAATGTTAGACATGTGGATCAAGAACAAGTAGTCAAACAGCCAACTGGAAAGCAAAAATCAAATAACTTGGAAAATACTATCAAGTTACTAATCGATAGATTGGAGAAACTGGAAAGTGCACAGAAAATGCAACCTCGGAAGGGCAATAACTCTTTGACTTGCTTTATCTGCAATTCACCAGATCATCTCATGAAGGACTGCCCAGACCGATGGACAAGAGGACAACAGATGACCACGACCTCTAACCTGAATAAAAAACATGGCAGTGGAAACATGAGAGATAACGACAGATATCATTAAGGGGGGACCTATGTCCAAAAAGTCTTTGTGTGAAATTTTCAACACTTCGACATTTCTTTCATGGCCACTTGCTCTTAATTTTTAGGTATTAAAAACAATACCTTTATATGCTTATTTTTACACAGGAGCGCGTGCAAAAACAGTATGAAATGCTAAAAATAGATTATTTTCAGAAATTACTGTTCTACAACAATATGCACTAAAAAGAATAAAAAATGTCAAATCACATTCAAAATCAACAGGTATTTGAATTATTTGACTCGCATCTTTAAAATGAAGGTAAAATCATTGTAATTCATCTCGCATGAAAAAATGTAATGGAGCACAAAGTAAGTATTACCCATTTTTCTTGTCTTATTTTTTACAATTCCGACATGCATAAAAGGTAATATCTTGAAAAGTATTTGTGTGAAAATGTTGTAATTCATATTTTTTTAAAGAAATGAATTATCTCTTTATTTTAATAAACAAAAAAGTATACCTTTATGATCAAATAAACGAGAAATATGAAGTTTTCTTTTATTTTCGTACTCTTGTGTCATACCGGTATATATTGACCTTTCTGCACTAAGACAAAGGTAAGTAAGCACTGGCAAACATCTGCATATAAAATTATTTTGCGGAAAGTAAGTATTTTGTTTTGAATAGTCAAATTTTACACTGATTTAATTTTTTTCTTTTTTGATCCCCCCCCCCCCCCGCTCTACCCCGTCAACAACCAATACCTTTAAGAATTAACCTAGGAATGACTTTATACAATTTAAATCTCAATGAACTAATCAATGAGCAAATACAGATACAAGTACATTTCTTAATTTTTTTCTAAGATTTATCGAGAAAAAAACAATTAATGGTAAGCATAGAATTAAACATATTTTCCTGATTTAAGCCGCTTTCTTTGTTGTCTTGATTTATATCCTATCTTTTTGCACATATATCAGCATATTATCGAGGTATTTTTTCACAACTGAAATTGCTATGATTTATCAACCAAAGGAAGAGATTTCTGATATCAACAAACTCCATTAATAAAATAGAAATGCTATTAATGATGTATAAATTTTCTTTTTGTAAACTGTGAACATTATTGATTAACAATGTTAAGCCTATATCACAGTTGCAAAAGTCAACAGGTGAAAACAAACGTCGCTAATGTGAAGTCAAAAAACGCTGCTTTGACGTAGAACGACATAGGTCCCCCCTTAAGTCAGGAGTTGGAATGTCTTTCTGTTGGAAATTAACATACTAGGACTGGCCACACAAGGGATATAACTCTCTCATGGGACAATGGATTTTATACAAAGGAAACATATTTGACAAACAATAGATTTTCTTGGATAGTGGATCTACTGCATGGATTATTCATTCAACCTTTTACTAAACTCTCAAAGGAAAGGACATTGTAACAGGACAACTGGATGACTTGACTTAATTTATAAGGTAGGTTGATGATATATCGAGGCATCAACTTACAACCCTGGTTCAGGAAGTTCATACCACAAAACTAAATGATGTCAGAAAGTAGTATGATGATACCCGATTTTTTTGTTTTATTTTATTGACACATGTCTAAGGTGGATGTTGTCCTAGGTGGTTCACCACACTAGGTGAATGTGTAGATAGTGACTGGCCATTACTATCATTGCACATTAGGACCTCAGTTGTCTAGGGCTGTGCCGGACTGTAGGTGGACCTCAGTTGTCTAGGGCTGGGCCGGACTGTAGGTGGACATCAGTTGTCTAGGGTTAGACGGGACTGGTGGAATTAGTAGTATATATTGAATTGACCACCAATCATGACAAGGAGCATATGGCGGGTGAGACCGGTCGGCAGGGAATGCTCTTTCCTCCATCTGACCTGATTCGACCTGTGATGTTTTGCAGGTCCGCGTTTGCTTTGCTCCAATTTTATTTTGTTTTTATGAACTTTTGATCTTGAATACTGTTCGTTATCTCCATGCGTTTTAGAATTTTGCATATTAATCACATGCTGATGGTAGAGTGTCTTAGTGATGTAAAGTAGCATCCAGTTGTAAATTATAAGAAATGTTTTATTGTTCATGTTATTTCATTATCTTATTGTTTACCTGAATTATTGATGCAATACACATTGCACTTCGACATTGTTATGTAAACAAATGCTGTTTTTGTGTTACTAGATGATCTAGTGAGATATTGTTGAATAGACAGTAAGGGACAGTTATACTGAGATGTTGTATGTCAGTTTTTCATCATTATCTACCATATTACGACTGTAATTAACTTACTTTTTCCAGCATTATCTTATCCCATGTGTTGTAAATTGAGCGCTTGCCATCTTTCTTACGAAGGAAGTAGTCATGTGACATAAACATTGTCGTTTTACAATTGATACGATCGAAATAACACTGTCCGTGTTCTCAAATATTTATGATTAATACTTAAATGTTATTTTATTGCAGTATTGTCATTTAATTACGTTTTATTTGACGAAATGTTTTGGAACTTGAATGTGTAGCGTAATACTTATGTGTTTGCATTATTGTTCGGTATTACTACGCCATGGATTGTGTGTGTCCGTTTTATTACAGATTGTTTGTTGAACTTATTTTATTATGTATATCGAATAGATTTAAAAGCTCCTACTTTACATGTAGAAAGGACATTTTGAGCGATGTTATTTTCTTTGTTTTACACAATATGTATGTAAAGTAGTTCTGTGAGGCTCCAGAAAGGACAATTATTCATTGGTTGTTGTTTTTTATAACCTTTACAGAAGGTTATATATACGAGCAGCGAACGCCAGTTTCAGAACAACGATCATAACAAT